TCTAATATTAACACGACCTTCAGTTTTACTTGAACAAGATCTTTCATTTGCTGGGAAAAAAAAAAATATTATTTTAAATACCTGAATTTAGACTCTCTGAGCTTGCTTTTTGTTAAAAGTTGTTTTTAAAGATTTCTATAATATCGCTTTCCATTTTCTAAGTTATTATCATTCATTAATGATTTTTTTTAAATCCTAATTAAAATAAACTTTTGATTCGCCCAAAGAAATCTATGTCAGGTTGTAAGGATTATGTTAATATTATTAACAGTTAAATTTTAAGTTAAAGTTCTTTTCCTGTCAAATTCTTAACTTCAACTTACTATTTCTGGCCAGAACGTAGTTTTAGAATCATTCTGAATACATAATGAGGATGAGCGGTATTTAACGGCAAAGTTCTACTTGCTGAATTAGATAGAATCACAGTTTCTGATTTGCGCGCGTCTGCTTTTTGGCTACTCTCTCTCAAAGCTGTTACGCTCGGCCGTACTCAGGCCCTTGATAGTTCACAGTCATCTCGTGTTCAAGGGGCCAACTGCATTAAAACTTTGGTAGCTTCGGCTATATCTCTTTAGTTTTAAATTAGTTTTAGTTTATTCCTTAGTCTCTTAAGTTCAAGCCCAAGTGTCGGCTTTTATTGTACACTCCAAGACGGAGTTCTGTTAAAATCTTATTGGAATAATAAAGGGTTAGTTACCCTTCCATCTTGTTGCTTCTTGTCACACGAACTTAAGCGATTGTTCGCTTAGCAGTTCTTAGGATTCTTCACTCTCTACAGTAACTGAGAATTACACAAGTGAGATTCTCTACAAGTGGCGTCCGAACTAAAAGGGTTGTGGATGATGACTCTCTACTGTAGAGACATTAGGATTTCTTTGAAAGCAAGAGAGATGAAAAATTATCAATCGCCTTCGCCGGGAATCGAACCACGGACATCTGGAATACCGTACCGGCCCAGCGTGCAGAACCACTACACCACGAAGGCACACTAGGAAAGTGGGAGAAATGTCTTATAAGGTTTCCAGAAAATGTATATAAAATGGGCTATTATTTTGCTCATGCTGTTCATACTGATTATATTTTTTAAATAAATACATACCTGAAGCATAAAATTAAGTAGTAAAATTAATTATTGTAAATCTACTTTTGAAACAGCTCAATCTCGAGAATTTCAAATTATATATAAAACAGGTTATGAGTATGTATATACCTTATTTTATACACAATAAATGTATGAATTAAATAAAATAAACTATTAAAGAGGTAAAATTCAAAATTTTTGTCTTGCTGCTGTTTAAACCTTGTGTTTACTGAGATAATTCTAGTTTTTCAGTGCTGATTTTTTTTATAAAGCAAAAGCACACAAAGCAATTTAAATATTTATTTTCGTCTCACAATAAAACAAAATTTTTAATTTTTTTCCCTAAATTTTAAAATTTCCGGTTCAGTAATTTTGGAACGATGGTAACACTGCTTCTAATTCTTCAGAAATGTTACAGCACGAAGAACAACGGAGTACAACAAAGCCGATTGTCAAACACAAAGGTAAACACAAACCCAGTAAGGCACATATTAATATTATTAATAAACATGAACCGCCCCAGCCCTCAGTGTTGTCCGAAACGGCAGATGGCGCGAGAGCAAGAGAACAGTGTCAACTTCTGCGCACATCTCTACCCGTAATCCTTTTATATAGCGTCATCATCGGAAGGGTAAACAGAAACGGCGGCAAAGTGCTAGAAAAATTCTTTGCTCAACGAACTATGTTCTTGTCGAGAGAAAATGCAATTATTAGAAAGGTTAAAAGCTTTTGAAAGACGTTGGATAAGAGACTTCAGAGTGCACTTAATAATGGTGAATTACGGGAGCCAGCCTGGATGAAATGCTGTTTAATTAAGAGCCAGCATTTATTAGTAATGCAATTTCGGGCAGTCATCACAAGTATATTACTAGATGATTCCGATCAGTATTCAGCAAATGGATTTCATGTATAAATATGGACAATTCACACTAGTAATAGCTGTAAAGATTTAGAACATGACCTATCAGCAAAAGTTACCGAAGAGGTGTGATATTAACATGATATCTATAAATCGCTGTTATGTTTAGCGAAAGATAGGAAATTATTTGTTTTACTGCAAAATAAACTAATAATCCTCGGGCCAGAAAAAGTAGAGATAATAATATTCGTGATAAACAAAACGAGATTTCAAGAATTAAATTTTATTAGAATAATCGAGTTATTTTAAGAAGTCAAAAAAATACCCTTACATAACAGATTTATTAATCATAAAGTGCATCATATCTCAACGAAATGTGCAGGTCCGTTTGTTCTTCATAAAAAGAAAGCTGAATAAAAATACGTTTTAAAAATAAAAACAGTTTGTAAATCTAAATCTGAACAAAACAAACAAACAAAAAAAAAGGGGGGGTCATTAACAATAGTTTTAACGAGGAATTTTAGGATGTTCCATGAATAAAATCTTCGATAATTTACAATCTTAAGCTGAAACTGAACACGAATTTAATCGACAGTCTTATCACTCGAACTTCCTACAAAACGGAAAATAACTTACGAGTACCCTTTACCTAAAAGCGGTATATGTGAAGAATATTCGAAATCAGAAACATAATACCAAATCTAAATTATTTAATACAAATCTTTATCAACTTTTACACTTTGGCCATTTCATAGCGTTCTGACCAGTGTAATTTTAAAAGGAAAGGTGGATGGTATTTGAAACAGTATTCAATATTTTTACTGAACCTCCTTGCTATGAAAATGAAAATATTACGTTGAATTCTTTAAAATAACTTCTTGAGTTGAGTAATTACGGGTTCTCTAGCATTACATAAAACTGTATTTAATTCATTCGCTTCTGGTCACTTCTAAACTCTTGAGCTAAAGCTTCTGATTACTGGAACTATATCACCTGATTCCGTATTAAGAACAAAATAATTTCTTGGCGGAATGCCATAAAAGGAAGGAACCTTCTTGACAGAAAAAGAGATGATTCTAATCCTGCATTAGACATCCACGTTCAGTAACTGCTACATATTATGTTTTTCACCTTCGTAACAAGATTTGGGCACCTCCAATGATCAGCTGATCGGAAAAGCATCAATACTGACGAAAATCGTGCTTCCTGATTTAAACACGAACACGATATCTCAGTGTAATAATTTATCTCTCAATAAGTATCACACAAAAAGCATAACGCGACCTATCGTGATATCCAAGTTAGTAGAAAATTGGATAAATTATTGTTAGGTTCTGGGGCAGATGACCACAAAATGTTACTTTAATCAATCCGTTTTTATTTGAGGATTTATAATTTTTACTTGTTTGAAACTGCAACTTTTTTAACTTCAATGCACAGAACTATGAAATTTTAAATAATTTTCAATGAAATTCTAGGACAGAAAATTATACCTTGTAGAGACATTAGGTATTTTTTTGGAAGCAGGAAAGGTCAAAAATGAACAACGGCGTCTCCGGGAATCAAACCACGGACCTCTGGAATACGCGCCCAGCGTACAAACCACCACACCACGAAGGCGAAAGAAATACCTTATATACTCCCCCTTTTAAAGGGCGACAGGGTTTTTTTTATAGGGGATCCAATCGCGAAATCCTGAGTGTGAAGAATCATCATCCGCCACCCTTTTAGTTCGGGCGCCACTGTAAAGACATTAGATATTTTTTGGAAGCAGGAAAGGTGAAAAAATGAGCAACGCCCTCGCGGGAATTCGAACCACGGAATACGCGCCCAGCGTGCAGACCACCACACCACGAAGGCATGCTAAGAAGGCGGGAAAAATACCTCATAACCTATTATATGCACTGGATGAAAGATCAGCATTCTGCAGAATATTATAGAATGTCCGGCGTTTTAGACAAATTATGATATATGAGAATTATTATATACTTTCTCTAGGCGTTGTGCATAATAGCTAGGCATTCAATAGATTGACAAACGTTATTTAGACAAAGTTTGAAAAAAGGATATGATATGGGTATTATTTAAAAGACGTGCATCCCTAAAAAAATACATATATTATTTTGAAAAAAAAAAAAAATAATAATAATAATAATGAAAGAGTGCCATTAAAAAGCTTTTATTCAAAATACGCAACGAAAAATGAAAGCTGTATAAAATAAAATTTATACCTTTTTTTATTAAAAGAAACAACGTATGAAAACGTATGATATGTATGGAAATTTATTTCATATTTTGCCAGTTGTCATTTGGTATTCTACAGAATGTCTACGAAAAGAATAATTTTTAATGTTCAGGCGCTTTATTTAATAGCCATTAGCTTTGCGGCACTACAAGAGCCAGATGTGGTAGCCATTTCATTATGGAATCACCTAACAGGTGGACAATCATCCCTTCTCCGGTATCTGAACCCGGGCACATCACTACGGCAGTCAGATTCACTAATCACTATACCAGCTGGGCGACTGCCTAGGAAACGTGTGAAATATCAATCGTTTCACACACTGCTGGCCAGTTTTCGGCTTTCATGCATTGACGGTACATATCAATCAATAAAAGTACTTTTCTCCAGTTCAGAATTTCCTATAGCAATAACAATTCAGTGGACTTCTTCGAATCCAGCAATACAATGTAGAGGTATCATTTACATTTAGTAAAAATTCATAAATAGAAGTCAGTTTATAAAAATGCATATGAACAACATATGTTTCGAAAAGAGCCAAACTACGAACCTAGGGCGAGTATAAGTACATTTTATCTTCCTTGGGAAACTTACAAACAAAACGAACAAACTATGAAGGAAAAATATCAATTCGTCATAAAAGATTTCGAAAAAAGATAGCGCTCTAATACTACCTCTGCATCAACAAATACACATCAGATTATGATATAATAGCTATAACGTTTCTATAATACGTAACAAGGAGGAAAAGCATCTAGAACTGCAGTTATATCAAGACCGTATCATCGTGATAAAAGACAGAATAGGAAAACACATACCTCTGGAGTCATTCGAGAGATGGTTGGCATATCGTATCCAGCCTGTAAAAACAATGGGCAATAATCTTCGTATTTCAAACTGGTCAGCCAAGCAGATAAGATTTCAGCGTCCTGAAAAATGAAAAATTATATATAGCGGTGCAGAATTTTCAAGAAAATATTTCAAGAAAATTTCAAGATTTCTCAGTAAAATTACAGCATTGCAGCAAGAATAAATTAAATGCAAATATATAATGATAAACTGTTCTGCAATTTTCTAGGCCAGGAACATTAGTAGATTATTAAGTGCATATCAAGGCAAACGAATAAGCATAAAATTTCTTCTGTTTTATGCTATACAAAATTATAATGATCAAGAACGGATAAACATTTCAAACTGTTCCAAAACACTACATAATAATGGGATTGCGTATCAGTAACGTATGGGAAAAAGAGTTCTAATTTTAATAGTAGTTAGACGGTGAAATTTCGTACGAATGTCAGATCAAGATCGCAGTACTCTTATTTTGTAGAACTTCCGGCTACAAAAGCCGTCAGATTACAATACAGTAGATAAGAAAACATACATGGAAAATACATTGCTTATTGTGATCAGCAATTCGGTTAGTATGTTCAAAAATGTTATCGAATAATAGTTTAAACCGAAGTAAAGCCGCTTGCCAGATGAGTTTAAAATGCATTGTAAAAATTACCAAGTTACAGAGAAATGTAGGTAGGGTAAACGTAGAAAAGACACAGTAATATTTACCACAGGAAAACTCTTCCAAACATATAAATACATATTTCTTAACGGAAGCATGTTGATAATTCTGAAGTTTGCTAAGAAGTGTACAAAGATAAAGCTTGAAAATTTTATCTTAGATGATATTAAAAGCGCTAATCAGAAAATTTATCAACTGAATAACGTATAATATAATACGTACAATATAATGTAGAATAGTTATGTACTATATAACTATTCTACACGACAGCATTTAACGTTCTCTTTCTTTGATTAATAAATAAGTCAAATATAATATTCTTAATTTATCGCAAAACACATAAAAGACTATGATTGGCTGACTGGATGATTTTCTTACTAATGAGTTAGATCAAGGTTCGAATCCCATCAAACGAGCAAATGCGGATGGATTTTCCATTTACGTGTAAGGTGAATACAAGTCAATTTCCCTTAAAGAGTAAGCAAAATTTTCTAAATAATTTCCAGCTGATTATTTATCAGTTGGAAATAATCAGTTGAATGAAGCAACTTTCGTACTTTCCCAACAGCCTTACTTTTTATTCATTAAATAGCACGAATCATCATTACTTGTATGAATTTGAGAAAATAAAAATTCAAGAATACTAACTAGATTTGCTAGAACTAACTAGAAATGACCCCAAACTCAATAGAAGGGGAGTCGATTTCATGCTAAAGACTACTGATTTTATTGAAGCAATTTCCACTTACCGAGTTAAAGAGCCATTAGCCAGGTTACTTCATTTACAACCTTCATTAATTAAAGAAGAAAGGAACCATATTCGCTATAGCGACAAATATTCCAAGTTTACGCGTTTGCACAACAACCATTATTCCCCCCTCCATGCCAGAATAACCAATTATTTACCATTTCCCTTCTCAAATCTAACACCAGTGCTCGTTTTATAGCTGTTCCCGAGGTGTCTCAAAGTTTCCGCCATGGGATTAAAGGAAAACCGTTATAAAATGAACAATGGGATATCACCTATTGTATTCTAATTTGCAGAATGCTTCCTTTCCCGAGCCAAACATTTCCTAAAAATGGCAGAAATGAATGTGAGATGTACACGAGATAATTTCAGAGTCATGCCTGTGAGGTGAAGAAAATATTTTCAAATTTTCACCACAAAGAAGCACCCCGAGCCAATCAGCTATGTTACTCTATATTATATTATTATATAATTATTATTCATTTCATTTCAGTTTATGCAGTTAGAAACAAAGATATATTTTTAATTACCGAAAGTGAAATATCGGTTCAAGAAAGTCTGATTGAATTTTAAAATAAGGGCATAGATAGTTTTTACATAGCGATACATTGAATTAAGAAAAAACTTCCTCCTAAAATAAAGGGTCAACCAGCGGCCGAGCGGTAAAGTCGCTGAACACTGGTAGTTCGGTCCGAGGTTCGAATCCCGCGAACGGGCTGGCTGCATGGGCGTTTTCGTGGTTTTCGCCATGGGTAACGTGTATACGAGCCAGTTCCCCTTAGAAAGTCCTCCACGAAGGCATCCCTCCCCTTAGTCAGATAGCCCTAGTGTGCTTTGCCATAATTAAATAAACCAAACCAAACCTCCTGAAATAAACATAAACAATAAATAAATATCGATCGGTAATTTCCACGACCACAACACCCCAAGACTCACAAACTAGACCGTATATTACAGTGAACATACATACTACCGATGAAACAGACATTTTGAAAAGACCAATATGATATCTTTCTCGACTATGGATTACGCGTTTCCTATGCAGCCCTAGTTCAGTTTCCAGATACGGTTGGCTTCATTTTCACCTGAACGAGATTTTTCTTCGTCTTTCACCTCCCCCCCCCCCCCCCCAAAAAAAAAAAAAAAAAAAGAGAGATCCCTCTTCACCAAAACGGGGCAAGAGATTCGTCAGTTTTCTGAGTATAATTTTTTTCCTCCTGAAGAGTTTTGATTAAAATCTACATGCAACATGAGGTTGCCGTTTTGCCTAGTTTAAGGTACGTATTATAGTGAACATCAAAAACAAAAAAGATTTATTAAAGATGAAAATAAAATAATAAATGGGAACTAAAAATTGTCAACAAGAATTTTTTATTCCGTAATTAATATAATCAAGAATAAATAATTTTGAGGCAATGAATTGGATGTAAATTAAGTACATTAGCTTAAAAGGCCGGCACCTGTTTCATGACCGACCGACAGTTAGATAAAAATTTTTGAGGTGAAACGTTAAAACAGAATTATTCAAACATTAATAATAGAACAGCTAAATATTTATAAATATACACTAATAATTATAATAATAGTAATCAATAAAACAATCGAATATTATAATATTTACTATAAACAGTGTGATACTTATTTATCTTTTCTTTCATTTAGTTTTTCAAGACGATCTCATTCTCTATTGTATTTTGTACATCGTAATTGATGCTGCAGATTTTCGTCGGTTAAGGACGCCAGGGTTTTTTTTTTTTTCGTCACTCAACAACTTCTTTTGCCACATTTCACAAATTTTGTGAATTCCGCCACCGGCTGCAAAATCTTACAGGGCGAGCCGCACGCGACACGCGGCCTGAACATCCCTGTACTTTACTCTTACAAACATTAAAAGCGTTAATCAGAAATTTTTATTAATTTATTAAGTTATTTGCCGGTACATAAACAGGAAAACACATTGAATTAGAAGTAGCTTTCTTTGTGATTCGAATCCCGAGGCATTGGCACGGTTGTCACCGCCACTAATCGCTATAGCAGCTGGGCGGCATAAAGCGATAACACAAAGCTCACTATTCAAACAAGCGGGAAAACATTCAAATAAAATGAAATTTATTTGCGGGAAATATCTAAAACAAGTGCGCAGTATTATATAGTTTTCATAAAAACATACTTTTAGAACCGCCCACAAAGACTTCAATAAGTAAGCCTTCAAATAAATATAAATCTCATAATTAAAAAGAAATTTTTGTTTTTATAGTGTAGTGGTGCCCAACCTTTGGCCTATGGCGAGCACATTTCCAAAACATTAACATTTTTGTTAAACACATTTCCAATCTTAAGTGATCCATCTGAAATATTAATTTCGGCAAATGGGTTTGAGATGAATAATAATATTGGTTGAACGTTATGGAAATCAGAGAACCGGAGTTCAAAATTATTTTTTAGTGCATTTAGGATTTCCGAGTATTTTTCTGTTTCAATTGCCTTGTGGTTATTAAATAAATTCTTGATAAATTCTGAAAATGGGTGAAATTTTTTTCTTTCATCTAATTTATCCACAAATTTAACTTTATCTGAAAAGCAGTTACAGTCCCAGTAAATTGAAAAAGGGTTTTTTTTTTTTTTTTTTTTTTTTTTTTCCCTGGAGATCATTCAGTTTGTTCAGTTTAGCTGTTATATCCGTGAGAAAACACAAATCGGGTAACCAATTATTATCGTCCAATTCTTTATAACTTTCATTTCCGGATTCCGAAAACTGCTTTATTGGCGAAAGAAGTTCTACAAATCGTTGAAGTATGTACTTTCTTCCCCGCTGAGCCTCTAACATCGGAATGAAGCAATAAGATTCCATGTTCGCTATCAAGTTCATCAGTCAGCAATCGAATTATTTATTTAACGTCTCGCAAGATATCTCTTATGACTATAAATACTTACCATATTTTAACAATTAAGAAATATAATTGAATGGTTATTTTAAAAATATTTTTTGTTAATTAATAGTACCTAATCGGGCTGGCGAGCAGCACAAGGGGAAAAAAAAAAAAAAAAAAAAAAAACCTTACAACATTGATAGAAAAATTCAAATGTAATACCCATGAGAAGCAATGCAAACACATTAAAAGAAAATGTCACACAATATTTTTTTGGCACATAAACAGGAAAGTTAGGGAGACACTGAATTAAAAAGCAGTCGTAATTTTTTACGCTTGTAGCAACTCCCCCCTCTTTTTTTCAATAGAAAGAAAGGGGTTCGAAGATAATGCTACCGAGAGTACCGAACAATATAAAAGTAGAACAAAAGAATAGGGCGTAGCCAGTAATACAGAGAGAACAAAAACCAATTACAGCTTTTAAAAATTTGAATCGTGAAAGTTGGCAACACTTTCTTACTTTTCACGTTTCAAGCAGGAAGGAGAATACCAAAAGGAAAGAGAACGAAATAAAGAAATTAGGCGTTAGGAAACACGAAATAAGGTATGTAGGGTGCGCGAGGGATGGGATGTGGAGTGTTCCGAAAAAGATTCTTATATACTGGAAAACGCGGTACAAACATGAGACTGCAAGATTATATGGAGCGCTTTGGAAAAAGAATGGACGGCAATGAAACACCCGAGTCAGCACATAAGGCGCAGATAAAAATCCCCACCACTACCATCGCAGAA